CCACAACTTTTCACAAATATTTTTGAGACTTCATCTCTTTATCCCTTTGGATTATTTGGATGCCCTCCAGTTTTGTCTTACTCTATTTCCTCTGCTCCCTACCCACCAACTTCTTCTGCAAATCTATGAATTCCTCCAAGACCGCTGACACCTCTTCTTGTGCTGAGCTGGTGCTGTTTGGGTCATGTAGGGATCCACATTCAGAGTCAGAATTTGTTCTTGCTATGTTGGCTACAGATCAAATGATTTTTAATTTATTTAAAGTTTTTATATGCTGTCCCATTGCTGAAAGTCTCTGGATAGCTTACAAAGAACAAAAAAAACCTGAAGAACAAAGGAACCATAACAACAACAACACACAACACACTGCATCTTATAAATAATGATAAGAACAAGGATAAGACCAATTAATTGTTAAAATACTGGGAAAATAAAAAGTTCTTTGCCTGACACCAAAAAGCGCAAAGCGAACCTTCCTGGGGAGAATGTTCCACAACGATGTTCTATAATATACTATATACATAATAGAAATAATAAAAAAGGAAAAAATAAGTACTCCTAAGTCAGTAAAGGCATTGGGCAGTAGTTAATGGGATGCTTTGCCTCTGCAGGTTCAGCTGCATTGTGGCCTCCGCTGCTTGTGCTTTGGCCCAGCCCCCCCCCCCCCCCCCCAAAAAAAAACCCTCGAAAGAAGCAGAAATGTTTGTTTCCAGACTGGGGAGGGTAAGCAAAGCTCCCTTCAGTGAACTGTACTGACTTGCAGAAATGAGTCTTTGCACTTATTCGGGGTTCTTTTGAGAAGCACCAAAGCCCCACTGCCTAAACAGGGGTCTGCAGCTCCAGCACAAAAGGACAGAAACAGGAAAAAAAACTAGGGTTTTCTTAAAGGAGGTAGCAGCTGGCTTTTTATTATTATTAATGCTACCTGATATTGAAAGCATGCCTTTCTTCCTCTTGCAAGGAAACTAAGCTGACTTACAAGGCTATTCTCACAGCAACAACCCTGTGAGGTAGGACAGGCTGGGAGTGAGTGACCCTGTGAGCTGCCTGACAAAGTGGGGACCTGAAGCCAGATCTCCTGAGCCTGCGTCCAGCACTCTTAACCTCCTCACCACACGCCACACGCCACACAGTTTGTGATTAAATGCAGTATAAAAGACCCATGAGTGCTGTTGCAGCCGTTAGAAACTGTTTAACGGTTTGAGTGACACTCAAAGAGCTTTATAATGGGGAAACATAGAAACAGAGCGAGTCAGAAGGGGCTTCCCGGGCCATCTAGTCTGACCCCCGGCTCCAGGCGGTTCCACTCAGGACACGCTCACCATGTGCATGTCCAGCCCAGGGAAGTGCGAGGGCTGCTCTGAATGACCTGCCTCGCAAGCTGAGGCCAGAGGAAAAGTCAGCAAGGCAATGCCTGGAAGTGACTTTTGCCTTATTCTCTCAGTGAGGTAAAAACCTGGCTTCGAAGTACATTCCTTCAGATGAATTCAGCTGAATGCTTCACCATTGAAATGTTCCCCTCAAGTAGAACACTAAACATGAAGAAGAGATTTTGGCCTCATTTTCTCTCCGATCTGCCAGCTTTCTATGAGCAGAATTTTATGTGAGGAGCAATCCTGTGAGGCCCACTTCTGAAACTCTAGACAGGAGTTTGCCAAGAATCAACATCTCCATCAGCTCCTTCAATTCTCTGGCCAGCCAACAACCAACCAACCAACCAACCAGCCAGACAACCAGCCTGTTTGTTTCTGCCCTTTCTTGGATGTAAGCCCTCCCAATCCCTGTTCACGTCAGCTGTTTTGACCAACTTCTAGTATCCCCAGCTGGTACAGCCCATAATATTTGGGAGTTATTGTCCAAAACAATCAGAGGGTTCCGATTTATCAGATTAGATCTGAGCCATGACACTTGTTTCTTTTTGTACAAAATGAGTTTAGCTTCTGCACTTTATCTTTACCTTGATCTTCTGCCTGAAGAATAAAACAGAGGTTCACTTTGCCAAGATTCATTCCTTTTTAAAGCTGCTGATAACCCATCCCCATTAAATTACACTGACACGGAGGAGATCCTTTGTAATTGGGCTTAAGTGATGTGGTCCATTAAGGCTGCAGTCCTACACCCACTTATCTGGACATAAGTCCCATTGTATTCAATGGGCCTCACTTCTGAGCTGTGTCTAGGATTGCAACGGAAGACCTTCTCGAGGTGACCTGGATCAGGTCACCTCCTTTCACCCCTTCGCCACACTCTTTGGCAGGCTGGGAAGCTGCAATTATGTATAAGAGGGGAAAAAACCCCAATAGATTTGTTTCAGTGCTGACAGAGTTAAGTATCCATGCTAGTCTTTGTGTTACAGAACTGGAAAAAAAAACATCCGATAAAGTACTGCGTCAGTGTGTGAGAAATGGGAACTTTAAGAAACTGACTCTCAGCTGAGAAATCTAACCCAGTGAGCCGTCTTCACTCATTCTCGTTTGCTGAAATCCATCTCTGTTCCATTCCACAAGGACCGCTTGCTTAATTCTTCTTGAGGCACCCCCTTCCCACCTGCCTTTTCTGGAAACCCCACAAAGTAGCCTGGGGCAGCACAGGCAGACACCATCAGTCCACATCGCACCTTTGCATTGAAGTGAGTCACTTGCTCCTGCCCTGCAGACAAAAGCCTCGCCAACTTTCTAGACACGAGTTCCATGCACTCCTCTTCAGCAGACACCCTCTCCCTGCCCAGTGCAACTTGCATTCAATAACAAGTGCTTTTAGAAGGAGACACCAGGTGTTTTAACACAAATTGCTTTGGGAAAGGAGCCACCGCAACAAACCTCCCACTGCTAGGCAAGAAACACTTAGTTTAAAACTTTGGCAGACCGGGTGCCTTATCTTTCCTCGGCGGTTGCAAAAAGTTTTGTGCGAGAGGATGGAGGGGTGAGAGGTGGAGGAACCCTGGGGAGTCCACCCCCCCACCCGGGCTCCTCCGAAAGAGGCTGGCCGGCCAGGAGCCAGAGCCGTTGTGCAACTTGGCAGCAGAGGTGTGCTGGCTCCCCCCCTTTACTCACAGTTCTGTGGCGTTCCTGGGGATGTCCCGGGGGATGGAGGTCACCCTGCTCTCCTGGCAGATGAATGCCATCCTGTCCGAGCAGTGGCAGAGGGAATGCTGGCACCCTGCGCCGGCACGCGCCAGAAGCAAGAGACTGAGGCAGAGCAGGACCATGCTGGCCTCCACATTTCCTCTCCCTCAGCCTCTGAAAGAGAAGCTCCTCCCGCCTCACCCTATCTCTCCCTCTGCCGAAGCCCGGCCTCGAGGGCTGTGATGCTGAGTCACGTGATGCTGAGGAAGGACTTGTCTGCATGGCCACACTCCATCAAGGTGGCAGGGAAGGTGGGCTGAGGAAGGTGCACCTGCCTCTTGCAGCACTCGCCTGCCAGGCTTCCTTTGCTGGGAACGCTTCTCAGATGGGTTTTCCATCTTGTCTGAATCATGAAATCATAGAATAGTAGAGTTGGGAAGGGCCACGAAGCCCATGGGGTCCAACCCCTGCTGTTGCAGGACATCACGTTACACCATCCTGCTCAGATGGCTGCCCAGTTTCTTTTTGAATGTCTCTAGTGTGGGAGAGCCCACCACCTCTCTAGGCAGCTGGTTCCACTGTCATATTGCTTTTCCTGATGTCCAGCCTGAATCTGGGTTGTCCTACACTCTGGCACCAGCAAGAAGAGATCTTGGCCTTCCTCTTTGTGACAGCCTTTGAGGTACTTATAGAGGGATATCATGTCCCCCCTCAGTCTTCTCTTCTCATGGCTGAACATGCCCAGTTCTCTCAGTCCCTCCTCAGGGGGCAGTGCTCCCAAACCCTGGATCATTTTTGTTGCCCTCTGCTGGACCCTTTCTAATTTTCCTGCATCTTTCTTAAATCTTGGTGCCCAGAACTGGGCACAGTATTCCAGACAAGGTCTGACTAGTGAGGAGGATAGAGGAACTACTACTTCTCGTGAGATGCTAGCTTTTCAGAGAAACCCGTGGTGGATGTTTAAGGCTGCCAGGGGAATGGGCCCCTCTGCATGTGCTCAGAGTAGGCTTGCTTGTTAACCTGGATGCGGATTTCTGCTTGCTCCCTGTAGCTAAGTACTGACTAGTTGGCTGCATGGAGCTCGTCTGATCTCACATCCTTATTTGGTGCCTTGTTCTGGGGGCTCAGGCAGATTAAGTCCTGCAGGAAAGGGTGTGGGTGTGGAGGCCAGCAGAGAGAGGCAGATGAAGAAAGGACATGAGAATTAGGGAGGGCCAGGACTGGGACTGAACATCTCCCTGCAAACATAGGGCTCCACTTAAGAGAATGATCAAGAGCCGGAGAATGGTGGTCCATCTAGCCCAGAAGTGGGGAATTTGTGACCCTCCTGCTGGTGTTGGACTTCAACACCCATCTTCTCTAGCCAGTATGGCCAATGATTGGAGTTGATGGGAGCTATAGTTCAACAAAATCCAAAGGACCACAAGTTTCCCAGAAGAACCTAACCTAAGAAGAGCCATGCTAGCTCAAACCAAGGGTCCATCCGGCCCAGCATTCAGTTCACCGGCTGGCCAAACCAGCTGCCATGGGAAACCCACCAGCAGGGTGGTGGGATGAGTGAACTGCACCCTGCTGCTCATGTTCCCCAGCTACCAGCATGCATAGGTGCACTGCCTCTGATACTGGAGGTGAGCCATCAGGACTAGTAGCCCTTGTTGAACTCATCCTTCAACCCCCTTTTAAAGCTATCTGGACTGGGGGCCATCACTGCTTCCCGTGGAAGTGAATCCAACCATTTAACTATGCACCACATGAAGAAACTCGTCCTTTAAACAGTCCTGAACCTCCCGTCAATCAGCTTCATAAGTTTATGTCTCACAACCAGAAGATCGAGGTGCAGGAGAAATGTGTCCCAGTTCATTTTGGACGAGTATTTACTCAGCTCACACCTTCCAGAACTGAGCATGAATCTGAAAGAAATTTGTGTTTGAAATCTACACATTTCCAAGTTCTGGGGAACAAACCAAGTGGTTGGAAAGTGCATACACTGGAAAAATGAACATGAGGAAATGCCTTCTTGTGAAACACGTGCACAAATGAGCTTTAAGTCATGGGAGAAAAATATATACATTGAAGAATGTGCACAATTGAGGCATTTACTTTGGGAATCATGCACAGAAACACATATGGATTTTTGTGCAAACATGGAGAAAACTTATTTTCCACAATCTGATATGGCAATGAGCTGGGACTCTCCAAAGTATCATTAGAAGAACCCCAACAAGCTTGAGTCTGAGGGCAAATCAGCTTCTGGTGAAAGGAGGATGAAAACTTTCCGGACTGGTGTGTTAAAGTGTGTGATCATATGATTGAACATTCCTCCAGAGATAAATATCAAACACAAATCAAAAGCAAGCCATCAAATACAAACCCACACCTATATCTAGAAGGGTTGTTTTGACCATCCAGAAATGTTATCATTTTTAAGGATGTCAGATTGCCTGAACATGCTCTAAAATGGCGTAGCCCAGACACCGCTGCCTGTGGGAAATCTTGCACTGCGCCTCCAGCATTTCCAGAGCGTCCATGCTAAAAGGTGCCCCATAAATATACTTTGAGAGCGCACTGGCTGCTGTCCATTTCAGAGCTTGCCAAATATTTCGGCAGTGTACACAAACAACCAAGTAGGCACGCCGTGGTCTTCCTCCTGACCCCAAAGCGGCCTAATTGCTGCCAGACGAAGAAATGTTACTCCTGCAGAAAGCATTTTGGTGTTGCTTAGGCACAGAGAAAGGCTGTGCAGTTGAGACCTGATCGCTAACAGCTTTTCAAGGAACCTCAGGTCGAGGCAAGTGAATGAGAACTCCAGAGAGTGGGGATACCAAGCGACTGAAAGCAACAGACATTGAAATTGGGAAATCATTCACCACAGGCTGAAATAGAGTCACTGAGGCATGGGCTTGAAGGTCATCAAGGACCTTTGCGGTCATTCCCTCTGTTTTTAAAAGTTTGCTCACAGCCAGCTTTCCTAGTACAATCAGTAAGGAGGCAATCCTGAGAATGTTTGGGCAAAAAAAAGTCCTGTGTGACTCAGCATTCCTCACCTCCACAATGGAACGGATAACTCTGGCATGGCCATCTGGGGAATACGGGACTTTTTTCTGCTAAACATGTGCAGGATTCATGCTTTTTCCATTCATACATTTTGAAACGAATGTTGCATAGTAAACTTTTCAGAGGAAAAATCAGCAACTGCATGCTAAGCAACCAACTTGGACCTACATTTCCTTCTCCATGCAGAAGCAGAGGAAATCAGTATAATTTGCTGCTTCTGGGGAAAGCAGCTAGAAGCACAAACGACCAAGCCTGACGCTGTCATACCTGGGGCACATCAGAAGGCAGGACTCCCTGGAGAAGACAATCATGTGAGGGAAATCATGTAACAATCATGTAACAACAACAACCGCATTTGTTGACTGTTGGCTTAAATTATTTCCATTGTTACCCATACTTAGCACAAGACCTCTGTCCTTGACTTGCCCATGTTAATTTATTCAGAACATCCTGTAAATTAATTCACATGCCCTAACTTCTGGGGTCTGGCTAGCTTTCCAGGGCTTTGCATAGACTACTATTGCTGGAACATTATGTGACAGAGGAGTGTTTCTTTATCCATGTTGAACAGCCTTTAAAAGTGTGCTAACTGAAAGAAGTGTGGATCAAGAGTTAACTTTGTCCCAGAATTGTATCAGTGGGGGATAATGCTTGCTGCCGATTCTCTAAACCGCTTCCAAAAATGTTTACAACTCTACCAATAATTTTACCATTATTGCGGTGATGTTTACCAGTAACAACTACACTATTTACCAATAGTGCAAGAGGAATATGTGTATCTTGGGCATCTGCAAAGAAGTTCCCAGTGTGTAGACAACAACGGACACCAGATTGTTGTTATTAGCCACAATAAAAGTGCTGTTTTCACATTATGCTGTACACCATAATGTAGCCTTTCATATTTAGGCTATTAGTCTAGAAGATGGATTATGACAGTTCAAGAATTATACATTTATCAAGGGGCTGGGCACACTGTGATTTTCTTCCTTACTCAAACTTGATTTGTCCTTGCATGCATTCAGCACGCATGCTAAGAAACATGTACATGCCAACAAACACATGCATGCATTTACTAAAAGTGCATATAAAGGCATATTCTTTACTGTGCTGGCACCAAAATTTTCACCGAATTTTGCTCTCAAGTGAATTTCAGCCAAGGGGCAGAGCAAGAAGTACTTTCGGATGCTAAACTAAAGTAGTCATCATAGCTGCAGTAGAGGAGGCTAGTAAAATCAATCAATCAATCAATCAATCAATCAAGCGAAAGACAAGGCACAGATTTTTTGGAGTCTCCTGTTCCTGTTTTATAGCTTTGCTTCCCAGAGTAATAGTATTACATCGTGTTAAGTACAAGGAAGGCTTAGAGCAGTGGTGGCGAACCTCTGGCACGTGTGCTGCAGTGGCATGCAGAGCCCTCTCTGTCGGCACGTGAGCCAAATCATCCCAGCATCACCCCAGCAGCCGAGCATCGGATAACAGCGCACATAGGGCCCATGCGCATGCTCGGAAAGGAGTAGCGGCGCCAGGCGATGCTGTCACGGGCTGTGACTCATTAGCTGCAACTCATCTGAGCTTTTGCATGGCTGGTCAGTGCGCTGCCGAGGATATATATTTTTTGCTTGGACTGGCTGTGAATTGTTTTTCCTAAACTAAAACCTCAGTTTTCAGGTTTCATTGCAGTGCTGGCACTTTGCAATAAATAAGTGGGTTTTGGGTTGCAGTTTGGACACTTGGTCTTTAAAAGGTTCACCATCACTGGATTAGGGTTAGAAACATGAGGTGTCCTGGTATGATTTTGATGGTAGGAATGTGTTTAGAATGGGCAGAAATGATGAGCTGTGCAGAAAAAGCTACTCAAGGAAGGCTTTTTCAAAATCGCCCTCTTTTCCATGGAACTTTACCCCTAAATTAGGGTTAGGGGTGTGCACCAGGGTAGGATCAGGGCAGTGGTGGTGAACCTATGGCACGTGTGCCACAGCGGGCATGCAGAGCCCTCTCCGTCAGCATGTGAGCCATGTCACCTCAGCATCGCCCCACCAGCCAAGCATCGGATAACAGCGCACATAGGGGCCATGTGCATGCTGGGAAA